TTTTACCTCTCCATTTTCTTTCAAGCTGAATCTCCCAGCTCTTGATTTGAATAGCATAGTTGCAGTAGGGATGTTTCTGCTCAATGTTTATATTGTACTGTGAATGTGTAGGGTGAGGTGTTGCTCCACTCACTGCCACTCCCCCATAGGCAATGCTGCTGCCACTGCTTCTGCCACCCATGATGCTGCCACCACCACTGCTGCTGATACCACCACTCTTACTGCTACAAAACCAGATGCTTCTACAAGTGCTGCTACAAAAACAACGGCTTCTACAAAGATCAAGTCCACTCCCTTTCAAATCAAACTAGTTAATCCTGTGACCAGGAGCAAAGCAAAGGCAAAACGCTCCTCTCTTTATACCTGCTCCCGTCTGAGACATCCAGAGTTTCTTCAGGCAACAACAGAGACTGAAACTGAGGAGGCAGAGGATTCTAAATCAGTTGATGGAGCAGGTACCTCTCGAACAGATAAAAAATCAGGCTGCTCTCAAGCAGATATAACAGAAGGCCCTCCTCAATCAGATGACAATGATGACCTTCTCCAGCTTTTCTCTATGAAAGAACTGTGACTCATGAGAAAGGACTTCACCAGACTCATACTGAGGGAAGTAATTCTTCCTTGGTTGCTCTGATGCTGTGATAGTGGTGCTGAAACCTACAACGTGGACGAAAGAGAAGCCAAGCAGTTGGCATAATAGGCGAGAGATGCTGGTACTGACAGAGCACTTAGTAGTAAGATGGGAACTACCACCCTGTGGGACCGGCTTCTTTCAGCTGTGAGGGAAAGATACCCCCACAAGGGTGACATCGAATGGCACCGAAGCAGAACACCCACTCTTGAGAAAGCCATCACCTACTTGAGAGAGATAGCTGTGCAAGAGGTGATCTATGATAAAGATGGACTTACAAATCCTGATGATGTTGAGTGTGACACACAAATGTTCCGGAGGTTTGCATAGGATGTACTAGCACCACATGCCCATATATTCTCCTTCATGGGATGCTTTGAAGATTACGCAAGACCAACTGTGCGTGAGGTGGCTTTCAAAGCACAACAGTATGGAGACTTATTCTCTTATTTCCATCAGTTCCACACGTCAGCCATTGAACAAATGGCTGACAGAAAGAATAAGATGCCAAACAGATAGGGAGATAAACTCCAGATTCTCCCTAGAGACAACTGGTCACGTGTTGGAACCATTAAGAAGAGACGTCCTGCTATGAAACAGAAGTGAGAGAGACAGGACCCACTGCGACGCCACCTGTGGTCTCTCTTGCAAAATTATTGTAAAGAGGACATGAGAATCTGGGACAAGAAACCCACTGATATTCTCCAGATACGTGTGCAAGAGCTACTAAATGGAATAAAGGCAGGAGATGGTTCTTCCAAGAAGAAGGCTGCACCACTCATCACCCAGGATGGTGCATAGAAATCTACTGCTCAACATTAGAGGTGCGCTGCCTCCAGCCAGGGGGAGGAGTGGGACAACCGAGTTTACTGGACTGTGTGTATTCAATTGCCTGGCACATTAGAACCACAAAGATGTAAAACCCTGGTGGACACTGGTGCACAGTGCATACTAATGCCTTTCAGATGACCCTTCTCTAGTGGGGTTGCTGAAGGTTGAAGACCAACAGGTGCCAATTGCCACTTCAATGGCGCATAGACGACAAGATTGCACCAATAGAGACTCTGTGATCCCCATCCATAACCTGATCCGGCAATTGGAAAGCCAAGGAGTGATCAGCAGGACTCATTCACCCTTCAACAGTCTTATCTGGCCGGTATGAAAGCCTGATGGTGAATGGATGACAGTGGACTATCACGGACTGAATGAGGTGACACCACCACTCAGTGCTGCTGTGCAGGACATGCTAGAACTTCAGTACGAGCTGGAGTCAAAAGCAGCCAGGTGGTGTGTCACTACTGACATTGTTCATGCCTTTTTCTCTATTCCTCTAGCACTAGAGTGCAGGCCACAGTTTGCTTTCACCTGGAGGGGAGTCCAGTATACCTGGAATCGACTGCTCCAGGGGTGGAAACGCAGCTCAACCATTTGCCATGGACTGATCCATGCTGCACTGGAGAAGGGTGGAGCTCCAGACCATCTGCAGTACATCGATGACATCATTGTCTGGGGTGATACACCCAAAGAAGTTTTTGAGAAAGGTAAAAAGATCATCCAAATTTTTCTGGATGCTGGTTTTGCTGTAAAAAGAAGCAGGGTCAAGGGACCTTCATGAGAGATCCAGTTCCTGTGAATCAAGCCGGAAGATGGTCATCGCCAAAACCCAATGGATGTGATTACAAAAAACAGCTATGGCCCCACCATCAACTAAAAAGGACACTCAAACATTTTTAGCGACGGTTTGTTTCTGAAGAATGCATATTCGAGATTACAGTGAAATTGTGAAACCTCTCTATGAGGTGACTCAAAGAAGAGCGATCAACAGAAAGATTTTGAGCAGATTAAAAAGGAGATTGTGCAGGCAGTGGCTCTTGGACCAGTTCGAACAGGGCCAGACATGAAAAATGTGCTCTACACTGCAGCCGGGTACAACGGTCCTAGCTGGAGCCTCTGGCAGAAAGCACCAGGGGAGACTCGAGGCTCACCCTTGGGATTCTTTAGCTGGATCTACAGCGGTTCCGAGGCCAACTGCAAGACAACTGAGAAGGAGATTCTTGCAGTGTATGAAGGAGTTAGAGCTGATTTGGAAGTGATTGGCACTGAAGCGCAGCTCCTCCTGGTGCCCAGATTACCAGTGCTGAGATTCATGTTCCAGAGTAATCTTTCTCCTATCCATCATGCCACTGATGCAACTTGGAGTAAATGGACTGCTTTAATTACTCAGCGAGCTCGAATAGGCAGACCTAATCGTCCAGGTATTGTGGAAGCAATTACAAACTGGCCAGAATGCACCCACT